TGTTGTGTTTTGGATTAAGATTTTGCTGTGATTATAATACAAGTAGATCTGCTGGTAAGATGTAATTATATTTTTTGAAGATTGAATTCTTTAGCCAGCACTATATAGCTCAGAAGAGCTTCAAATAAATTAGATTGGATATATATATATTTTCAAGGGATGTAAACTTAATTTTACCAATGGTGTCAGGCAGGGCCTTCAAGCAGCAGAAATAGGATTTGGATAGTAAAAATTTGATGCACTTTATAAGTGTATATTATAGATATTCTTTGAAAGTCCATGTCTGCTGTGCTGCTAGGTACGAGGGCTTTTTAATTAACTGTAAAAAGATATTTTTGAAAAAATGTATATAGGTTTCTCCACAGGTGTAAATGAAAGATATTTTCAGTTGTCAGTGTTGCCTGTTCAGGAAAATGGAATCTGTAAAATGAAACATGAAATGTTCTATCTTCTTGATTTCAAACATGATAATTGAACTTGAACATCACATGAAGGTTGTCTATGTATAATTTGGAAGAATCTTTGCAGTCGTTGAATAATGGGTTTGGTCTTTCCAGTATGGTATGTTGATTTGGATGAATTAGCTTTTCTGTCTAACTTTGTGTAAGAATATGACAGTTCTATTTTGTATCACTGCATTGGTATTTATTATTTATTTTTTTTTATTATTTCTTATTGAATGCAAGAACACATTTCTTGAATAGATTTCATTTGGAAGCTTCTCATCATGAAAATTTTAAGTTATCTCATTCACTGTATTCTGTCTTTGTATTTATCTGCATTAATATGCAGTCATACGTGAGTGAGTGACGTTAACTGAATATTTGTCATTTTCTCTTTGAGAGGAATGCTAAGTATTGTGTAATGAACTGCTTGTAACTTTGTTTTTAACTGTATGAACAGAATGGAATATGATATGTATATGTATATTCATGCATTGAGTTTTTATTGCACTGCTGTATTTATTATTCTGTATTTTTTGTCATATATATAATATAAAGATATATTAGAATTAATAGTTGTGTACAACTCACAGCTTTTTTCCTCAATATTTTATACTTCTTGTCTATGTCAGGACCTTGCATTTATGAAAGTTGTACCTAACAAATAGTACAACTTGGGATGACGATTTTCCTTTCGACAAAATATCATTCTGCTTGTTATTTTTATTGAGCAGGTTTATGCATTGAAATGTACAAGGTAACAAAAAGTGTCAGTATGTTAAAAATGCTACAATGTTCATTTTGCATTTTGTCAAGCTGCCGTAGTAGTCATTTGGTAATCATTTTTTGGTCACTTTCATTACTGCTTGAGCTACAGATTAAAATAGGTAGTATAAGAAAATAGATAGATAAAAGCAAGCCACACTTTCATTTCTTTAGATATGTGCACAGAAATATAGCTGTTTTATTGAAGGCAGGTTGGAGGCCATAGAAGTTGTTTCTCAAGCAATATAAGCACATTGCACTGCCAGTTGCATTATTGATATATTTTTTTGTGTTGTATCATTATGGCTGACGACTCCTCTTCAAGAAAACAGGTTATTTCACTCTAAATCTGCGGTTTAATGTAAGAAAGTCTTATTTTCGTACTGAGTAACTAAATATCTGTCACTTGTTGTATGTTGATGTTTGGCTTGTAACTAGGGTGATTTATGCAACGTAATTCAAATGGAACTCTTTTTGTGAATTGTTTTCCACCCGAATTTTGAAATTAGAAAGAGTAAAAGAGTATTTTTATTAAATATTGTCGCCCTCTGTCTATGGTAGAAACATAAAAGTAGAAAATGGTCATGGTATATGTGCTGTTATTAATGTTACGGAACCTTTTTCCCCCAAGGAGTGATATAAGATAGTAAAGAAGTTTTACTTGAATTATTATGCTACTTAGTACCATGTGTTGTTCTAAAGGCAACTTCATGTTTCTAGTCTTTATTAGTCTATTCAAATTGGTGTTTAGTGTGACTCCAAGAAGTGAGGCTGTATTTAAGTGCATAGAAAGTATTAGTATTATCCTGTTTTTGTTCTTTATTTGTTGTAATTGTTGAAATTAAGAATTCTAATTTAGGTCCCAAGAATGTTGTGTAAATGGGTAGATAGGTCTGGCCTTTATCCACACCTTTGTAGATTTTTCTGAAGAATAAGAATGTAATGATTTCACTGAGGTGTAGTGAGTTGGTCCCAGCCTTGTGTTACCCTTTATCATGAGGTGGATTCATGGTACAGATGTATTTGATTTTTTTTCTTGTTTTTTTTTTTGTGATATTTCATGTTGCTGTAGAATTAAGTGTCCTCTGTATAAGATAAGTTTGGTCTTGCATCTTACTCTTTGAGTCAGCGGTGTTTGATAATTTCTTGAAGTTTCTTTTAATTCTCCTCATCTTTCACTTACTTCTTTACCTCCTCTTCCTTTGTCTCCATCCTTCTCTTCTTACTTTTCATCCTTTCCTTACTCCTTCCTCCTCCTCCTCTTCTTTCTCCTTTTCCTCCCTCTCTTCCTTTTCCTTCCCCTCCTCCACCTTTTCCTCCCCCTCCTCCTTCTTTTCCTCCCCTCCACCTCCTTTTTCCTCCCATCTGCTATTTTTCCTCCTCTTCCTTTTCCTCCCCCATCTTCTGGTTTTCCTGCTCCTCCTCCTATTCCTCCCCCTCCTCCTCCTCCTTCATTCCTGCTTTCTACAGTTTTCTTCGGCCATTTCAGATATGCTTAATGTTTGTCAAGGTATTCTTAAATGCTGTATAATTGTAAAGATTCTTCACTTTCACAATTTAGTTGTGAAAAGAGAACAGAAATGGTTATACATTTTCTGGCTTATGTGACCAAAAAATTGAAATGAGGAATTCCATGAGGATTCAGTGTATTTTCATTGATTTTTACTGTCAAACACAATGTAATAGGAAAACCAGTTTTAGTGTAATAGGGAAACCAATTTTCTGTTCTCTCGGTAAACTTAACAAACCTCCATGTGATTGGATATGATGTACCTGAGTATATTATAACCAAGTGTATATTAATAGGTTGTATATATGACTTTTTTATGACTAGTAATTCCCTTTTTTCAGTTTTCTAAGTTTGTCCAGAACTTAAAGCACAGGTTTGTAAGTTATTGAAGGTACACATGTATGCACTCGCAGGCACATGTGCAGTAAAACCTACACACTCACATTTTTTTGCATATCTATGAATGCATTGATATTTACACACACATGCACACACATACGCACACACATGCACACACACACACGCATACACACACACGCATGCACACACACGCATGCACACACTCGCAGGCACACACTCGCAGGCACACATGAGCGCACACATACTCGTATACGCACACACCACCCCACACACCACACACACCACACCACACCCACCACACCCACACCACCACACCACACCACCACACACACCCACCACCACACCCACCACACCACACCCACACACATTGTGTATGTGTGTCTGTATGTATGAGGTATTGCTCAGAACAGAAACATTGTGTGTCTGCTGAGCACTGTATTGAGATTTCCTAATTCTCTGTGATAAGAGTGCAATCAGTTTCAATCTGTAATGTGACTGAAGTGCTGTCAAGACAAATATTCAAATCCATTCTTTACTTGTCTTGTTGATGTTGTTGTCATTATTCAGAAAGTATATGATACTAAATCACTGTTTGCAGTTTGATTAACCTCTCTTTATTGGTATCTGGTTTCCGTTATTCTCCATTTTGTGTCGCTTTTTGTAAATGTTTCTTATTATATTAATGTCTGTGGCAGGAGGTTACTAGGTTTGACTAGGAATTCTGTTGAGGAGCGATGCTGATAGAATAAACCAAATCCTTGGTAACTGAAATATAGTTTGTGTACCAGAAAGTACTAATACTTTGCAACATTGTAAATTGTATGATGTATTTTTCAGTCATTCATGTTCCATAAAAAAACAAGGATGTTAAATTAAAGTAATGTGGAAAGTGGTGCCCTTATCAGTTACAGGTGATACATAGTTACAGAGAGATTGACCTGATTACTGGGATATTGTTTTCTGTAAACAAATCTGTATTTATTCATATGTACTTGATGATCCACATTTATGTTGACAAATATTGAAAAGGTAAGAATGAAAATGAATGTATTCACAATACTAAAGATGTATCTGACCGGTTTCGATTATATCTTCGTCAGTAATACAAATGGACATATGTGGAAAGAATACTGTAAAAACAATTATGAAAAAATCAATAAAAGAAAAGCAGTAAAAAAACTGAGGGCATTTATACTCCCTCAAATTAGGCAGAATATAACTCAACAACTCTGGGTATGGCAGCGTATACCCCCACTCAATCTTTGCTTTTTCTGTTGTGGGGGGTCGTGAGTTAGGAGGAGACAGACACCGAAGTCCATTGTAGGGTATCCCCCCTACCTTAGACCTTCCCCCTAGTCCATGCTCATTGTCATTGTGGGGATGGGGGGGACCTAGGAGACGGAGACTGAGGCCCAATGTGGGGGATCAACCCAACCTTGGACTTCAGCCCTTGCCTCAACTAATTGTGCATGGTCTTTTCGTCTCCTCACTTCCTTTATCTTTTTCATCCCCCTTTTCGAGATCATCTTTATTATAGTGACCACTTCCCTGTCCTTATTCCTATTTCCTATGTTCCACTACCTAAGCCCCCTTGCTGGTACTTTGATAGAGCTGACTGGCATACCTTTACTTCCTATTCCACTTCAGACATACCTCTATATTTTACTGCCATTCCCGACCTCACACTTCAGAATGTGTTCCATGGTAGCAAAGCGCTTCAGTTGAAGCATGGAACATGGAACAAATATGGTTACTTGAGAGGCACCCCCGGCTATTTAACAGCCCTCTTATCAGGCATCAGCTCATTTTCGCCGTACAAAACAAAACAATCACAAACAGCTGTCGAATTTTCCTCCTTGCAGGTGTGAAGCCTGTGTACTAACCTTTCTAAAACCAAACAGACCTGATACCCTTCCACAAGACTTTCATCCTATAGCACTCACAAGTTGCCTATGTAAATTACAAGAAAGGATGGTTAACATCAGGCTAATGTGGTACCTCGAATCTCACAACCTTATCTCCTTATCTCTTTAAATCAGTTTGGATTTCGTCGCGGCCGAAGCACAGCTGATCCTCTGTTATTTCGAAATGCAAATCACATCAACATCTGCACGCCATGATTCGGTATTAGCTGTCTTCCGTGTCAGATGTGCCTCGTCTTTTCCTCAGTTCGAGGATGTCCCACAAGACAGTGGGCTCAGCACCGCATTGTTCCTCATAGTTGTAGACGTATTAATCTCAGCTCTACCACCAGAAATCCGGTCATCACTTTACGTAGATGATTTAGCTATCTTTGCCTCTGGTCCCTCAATGCATGCTCTCCATAAGCTTCTCCAGTCTGCAATAACATCAATCTCTTCTTGGGCTACCAACCACGACTTTTGATTTTCCACCTATAAAACCTTTTCCCTCCTTTTTTCTCGTTCATGTATAGGCTCTCAACCTCCACTCCTCTCATCCAGTTCCTCCCTTCGGCCAATTTCTTTGGTGTCATTTTCGACTCCCAAACTGTGTGAGCGGAATCATATCCTTTCTATTCAAGAAAAATTCCGCCGTCGTCTCCGACTTACAACCTCTCTCACATCCTCAAATCTCTCAAATCCTGAGGTTCCAATCGCAAAATGCTTCGTCTCCATATTACCCTTCTATTCTCCTACTTTTCCAACAGCCATCTCTATTCTTCCTTGAACATTTTACCTATACCTTCCCCAGTGACAGAGACACTATATTTCACTCAATTACCCTAGCTCCTTAACCCTTCCCTTTCTACTAATTTCTGTTCTATTTCACTTGCTCCCCTTTTTCCCTTTTCACTACCATACTATCCTATAACGCTCACGAATCTTTGACATATAACACATTTTGTCTTAATCTTTAACTCTCCTTTGCCCTTTCCGACACAATACTTTACCACAGTGTTATATGACCTTTGATGTCTAGCACATTTATTCGTTTAAACATTTCAAACATTTCCACATTACCCTAATCCTTTCCACCCTTGATTATGGCTATCATATATATTCTTCTGCCTCTGCCTCACTTCTCACAACTTGACACAACCCACTATTGCGATATTCGTTTAGCCCTAGTTGAGAGCCTATATACTGAATCAGGCCTACCATCCGTTTTTCGACATCGCGTTCTTTTGTCATTAAGGAAGTATACTCGTTTTCACCAACTTTCTTTCTCCATACTAACTGTCCGTCAATCCCTTCTTCATACCTTCTCCTCTCCACGTTCATGTACCCCTTTTCCTGTTCGTTTGGACGTTCTACATTCTCATTCACCAGTTCCTCATCTCCGATCCCTTCCTCTTTGTAATTGCTACTTTGTTTTCCCAGATCAATCCATATCAAACATCCAAGCTTCTGTCTTCCTCACATATTTTCTTGCACATATCTCAAGTCACTCTTACAGTACCCATGTCTTTACAGCCGGCTCCAAATCCACCTCGGGTACTGGTTTTGTCTTTCCTTCTCACACATACAACTTTCCTTACAACAAGACTATATGCTATCCTCCTTGCTTTGTAACGCATGTCTTCAAGCACTTCCTCATTCTTCACCATCTTAACCGACTCAATATCACTATCACTCATTCAGTCAATACACCCTATCAGTTTTGCTAGATACCCAGACATCAGGATCCTTGGCAATGAACAAGCAGATTCCTTAGCACGATCCGCCGCTTTATCCACAACCCACCAACCCCGCGTTTCACACATTCCTACCACTGAATACTATCCCCACTTCAAGGCTTTCCTATATAACCGCTGGTAATCCTTCTGGTCAAGTCTGATCAACAATAAACTACAAATCATCAAACTTTCCATCTCTTCTTGGTCGGCCTCATACCACCAGAACACGCTGGGAAACTGCTCTTTGCGAATAGTTCACACCCGACCCCCCCTCCCATACGGGTATCCATGCCTTGCGTGATTCATACCTCATGTCATGCTCCAACCCATCTCTGTGCTTCTCATGTAATGTTCCTCTTTCAGTCCCACATATCCTACTATCCGCTTTTCTCCGAACCCCAACCTGTCGGACATCCTCACGGAATCCACCACCTTTTCAGTTGACAACCTGTTCTCTTTCCTTCCCATCTGACATTTATACCCACATTTGTTTTCACCCTTTTATCCTTAACCTTCCCCTTCTGTCAATCCCTATCCTACCCACTTTACTCCCCACTTACACTTCGAACACAAGCCTCACCCTATCACGATATTTTGAACACACGGAAGTTTTGAATGGATAGACATCTACACACACACGACGCACACACACACACACACACACACACTCACACACAACACACACATACACACATCACACACACACACACACACACACACACATCCACACACACACACACACACACACACAACACACACACACACACACACACACTCACACACAC